CTTATACACATCTAGATGTGTATAAGAGACAGGTGCTGTGCTAAGAGGGGAGAGAGAGAGGAAGACCGCGCTGGCAGGGAGAAGGCAGCCATAGCTGCACCAGCGCAGGGTGTTAATGTTAGCAGATAGTAGTAGACTACAGAGGGGTTAGTAGAGTTGACAGTAGTATGTCCTTCAGTAGGAGATGTGTGAGTGCATGTAAGTAGGGAGAGAAGACACAGTGAGGTGGTAGACAGAGAGAAGATCAAGATAGAGAGAAGAAAGAAGAGTTTTAGAAGAGAGACATACCTGAGTGAAGATACGGGATATTTGGGTTGCGCTGTAAAGTGCTGGTGATTGAAACTATTCATTGCTCATATGATAATTTGTTGAGATTATAAGCTGCGCTACCTGGTCTTCATCTTTCTGGTCTCCAGTGTGAAAAATTTGTGTGATCTCATACATGCATGTGGTGTGATTGTGCATGCTCACTGGTGTTGAACTAAGAGGTTCATTGCAATAGACTACAGTATCTTGTAATCTGTATCTGATGTGAAATGAGGCTCATTAAAGATTAAATGGCCCCATATTTCCTCCATTTGGAAAATGACAAGCTGAGGTGCCTAGGACAACTCTTCGGCTAAGCTGCTCCAGCCTCAAGGTACATGCTCACACCCACACACGGAATTCGAAAAGACCAATCCAGCATCAGTCGCCGATTCAGGAAGTCAAATGCCATATACCGCCCACGAATGACATAATTTTTCACATAATCCTTTTATAGTCATTCATAATTTGAGCTGATTTCATAATTTTACTTGTCTTGGTGGATGGTAGCAAAGCATTTGGTGCAAAAAGGAAAACACTCAGTGAAAGCTAGTTATGCAGTTGATGACAATACAGTTAAATACACACGCCACACTCCTCGAAAGAAAGTAATTTTACAATTTTTAGTAAAATTATTTTACTCATTTGAGAAAAGATTAAGAATCGACAATGATTCGACATCAACCGATTGCAAAAGGAAACTTGGATTCCACATGGGAAAATAAATTGGTATTAAATTATTAATAATTTAATAATTAATTTAGAAATATTTTTAAATGACTTTTTTTTTTTTTTTTAAATGGTTTCTTAGTACGATGATACGATCGGTTTAGATTTTTTTTGACTCACATGATCTGAATAAAGCAGATAATGAGTGACTTATAGAACGAGTATTGAGCTATCACTGCCGTCCGATGGTAAGAGTATCGACCGTGTACAAGGATGAGTCGCTTCAGGAACCGAAACTCTGCCAAAACCAAAAACACACAAAAAAAATAAACACAAGTGCAGTCAAGATACACAAAAAAAAGCACACGTGCAGTCAAGATACACACACACACACACACACACACACACACACACACACACACACACACCAAGTTGTCATAACCTGTCAGAACCCAATCATTGCATGCAATTCACCTTGCCAGTCTCATCACCCGACACACCTTCCTGACAATGGTAAAGAACAAACTCCGTCGACAGCAAGGTGCTCAGACGTAGAGGGTACAGAGTTCGCACAGGAGAAGGCGTACAGGCTGCATGGAGACTGTCTGCAGGGAGCAGATCCACAATGCAGGGAGGAGTAAGGGTCACCAAGCTGATAAAGAATATGTAATTACATGGTCACATATGTGTCAAGTAACTATCAACTAAAAGAGCGCACTTTGCGAACATATAATCAACAAAAAATATGAAAAATACAGAAGAAGAAAAACATCGAGAGCACACTGAAACCGGTCTTTTGATCATTTACAATAATAATAATAATAATAATAATAATAATAATAATAATAATAACAATATTAATATTTATTATTATTATTATAATTGGAATTATGTCTTGTTTTAGCTCACCTTTTAGCGTCAATACACAACAAATCAGGTTGTTTTTTCAAGAAAGAGAGAAGTCCATTTACACTCTATTTTATTTAATTGACAGAGAACTTTGAAATGATCTTTTCTTTCTATTTCTATTTATTATTTACAAGAATGAAAGATAAAGTTTAAATTGAAATAAATATAATTAATATAATAGCTCTATTTATGGAAGCTTATATAGTCAAACAGAGCTGCCTGGTAAACTGCAGGCGGAAAGGGCTGTGACAAACTGTTTCATCGGAGTTTCAAAGACTCATCAGGAGGCTGAACCCTAAACAGTCTGCAGAATCCCCTAACTGATTACAGTGTAAGTGATAATCCACCTCAACCCCGGTTGAAGTTACGCATCAACAGCTGCCCAGCAACGGATACCCTGATGTGGGCACCAACCACTGCCCTCAAGGTTACCTGGGACGAAAATCAAAGCAGACTATCACTCACCCACACCAGATGGAAAACTCTACAGACTGTTGGTTCACACCCCATCACAAGCCAGCAAAACACCCCACAAAACAAAGAAAGGTCTATCACAGCCAGAAAATATGCCGCTGGCACTAGACGATAGATCAGACGCAAAGTGTCTGCCACTAGAAGTTGAATGGATGGTATGCTGCCATATGACCAACAAGGCTGTCGTTTCTTTTGAATCTTTTCCGTTGTAAATCTGAGGTGCAGGGCTTGCTAGCTTGACTTCACCGGTTCTGGTGTGCTGCAAAAGCTGCACGACCGTTATCATGCACAACCTTACCTCCCTTCATAAAATAGATTGAATCATGTCTTAAACCACTAGTACCTTTGCCGTCCAGTTTCGACAAGTTTTAGCCTTGTCACAAACTTTTAGGAGGCCGGGCCCGACAACGGCTCCCGTTGATAACTCTGATCGGTGGCCGTCATTTCGTTTTGTTTCCGCCTCCTGAAGGTTGGAGGCCCACTATTTTCCGAACCGACGAAGGTACTAGAGGTTTAAAAAAAGAAAAAGAAAAAAAAAAAAAAAACACTTAAAAAAAAATTATTGGGCTTGATCCCTCCATCACCCTCACCGTCGTCCATGAAGATACTCTCTAGCTCCCGAAGAATTGGGTTGCATCCACCCGAGGGTGGGTAGCCTAAGCCGTATGTGTTCATAATACTTCATAAAGTTCATATAGTCCATAGACTATTCCTGTCCTTACAGAGGGAGATGCTAACCTTCTCTCGGCTCAACGAACACGAAAGAAGAAGAAGAAAAAAAGGCCTTTAATTTGAACCATTTATCAATTTATGGCAATTTTACAAGTCCCATCCTTGAGCAGGTGCCATGGTAATCTTCTCTGTATTGTTCCAATTTTAATGGATGTCCTGAAGGGCCAAAGGATGGGGAAAAAAAAAAAGGAAAACTTTTTGATATGCCGGGTATTATGCCCCTGAAAGTTCGATTGGTTTGCGGCATGCCCCTCTGACGGCCGACTTACCCTGTCGCGCCTCTGACAACTATTGAAGTTTCCAAAAAACACCTGGCATCGTTTGGGGCTGAAATATGTTCAATATGCCCTTAGTGGTACTGGTTCCAAATTTCCAGTATGCCCCCGGTAATTTCCAGCAGGTGATGCTCCCGACCAGTAGACTGGAGCCACATGCAAGGATAGCTAGGGTATATGCTTTCACCATTACCCCTAGCTGTGCCTTGAGAGTGTTTGGGAAAAAAATAAAAAAAGAGCCGCAAGTGCCACCAACGGCCACAAGGGCATGCTGGAAAGTTGCACCCCTCACTGAGAGGGGCCCGCAGGATAAGTTCAGAGGCTCCAGGGGCACGACAGGGTAAGTCGCCCGTCGGACGGGCACCCCACCAATAAATCAAACTTTCAGGGGCACATAGAAAATCTCCCTCCCCCCCCAAAAAAAAGAAGAAGATTGAATCATTTCTAGAAGTGAAAGAAAAGGGAAACAAAGAAAAAAACGGAAAACAGTTAAAGGAACCATGTCTGAGATAGAACAATAGAATGCACTTCATCCAATAGCAAAAAAATAACAAAAGGAAAAGTTAAGCCACCAGGACTTGGCCCAGCTATCGATGCCGAGCCTGAGAGCACCCTGCACGCCAAGTTTTGACAAACCGCCAGCGCGACGTTTTCTTTTCATTTTGGCTGGTGCCTCCAGCCATTGTGGTCCGGTACACTGAAGCCCTAAAGGCACGGCGCATCAACGGGGAAGCGCCGCGGCTAATGTATGGGCCAAGTACTGGTGGATTAAAGCAGCACAAATTGGCCCAAAGACGTTACTGACACATACCAGTGTGATGTCATGTGATTGAAATCTCTCGACTGGGGTGTTACGCCGGACTTTGCTGGACGGTTAGCATTGTTGTAGCCAGACAAAGTTACAAACTGAATATAAAATGCAAGGAAAAAAAAAAACAAAAAAACATATCATAACATATGCATTATGAATACGTATGGGATTGATGAAAACATTGCAAAATGTTGAAAAATCGTGGAATCGTCAAACCACGTACTGGCAATACTGTAGTCCGCAGCTCTTGCAGCTTGACGCCCCTCACGCCCACTGATGCCAACACCAACATGCGCCTCTTGAATCATTCGGACATCATTCCCACCATCTCCGATAGCTAAAGTTCTATATTCGCAGCTCTTCACCAGTTCTACCAGCTAACACACCGTCGACACAGAAGATGCACATCAAGCGACAATCAATCATCAAAGAAGCTATCATGAACTCTTCTCCTCCTCGTCACTTCGCCCACTTTTTCTTTTCCTCCTCCTCATTCTCCTCTTTTTGTTCATTTAGTTCATCCACTTACTCCTCTTCCTCCTCTCCACATCCTTTCTTTTTCTCTGAGACTCAAGTCTTCAACACTAGCTCAGTGATACCTTAGAAGGTGATAGTCTCAGCTCTTCCATCTCCATTGATTCTTCAACTTCCTCCTCCTCCTCCTCCTCCTCCTCCTCCTCCTCGTCCCCCTTCTCTTCCTCCTCCCCCTTCTCCTCCTCTTCCTCCTCCCCGTTCTCTTTCTCCCCCTTCTCCTCCTAGTCTTGACAGCTTACACCTATCTTCGCACATCTCCTCCTACTCCTTTCTTCTTCCCCCTTGTTCAGAGATGTCACATCCACTCATCATGCAATACTATAGTTGTTTTCAACAAGCAAGAACAGCGTCAACACGAATGATCAGCCATCTCAATGCGTGAATTCGACAAAGCTTTCACGGGATGCAAGGGAGAGTTATGAACCGGACATATGACTCATGGACGAGACACATGACACTGACATCTGACTCTGCTCACACAGAAGAAGCAAGTGTACAAACTCAAAGCAAATGCCACATCAATGAAGTCTGTTGACATCAACTTTCCACTCCTCCCTAGCCTTGACTCTGCACCATTAACGATATGACAGCTTAGACCTATCTTCATCCATTCTTCAACATCCTCCTCCTCCTAACCCTTCTCCCTCTCCCCCTCCTCCTCCACCTCCTCCCTCTCCCCCTCCTCCTCCACCTCCTCCCTCTCCTCCTCCTCCTTCCCCTCCCTCTCCTCCTCCTCCTCCTCCTTCCCCTGTCTCCTCCTCCTCCTCCTCCTTCCCCTCCCTCTCCTCCTCCTCCTCCTCCTTCCCCTCCCTCTCCTCCTCCTCTCCCCATCTCCTCCTAGACTCAACCCTGAGCCACTAACCATATGACAGCTCAAAATCATATGTGTAGGTCTACCATCCATTCTTCTATTCCTCCTCCTCCTCCTCCTCCGTAGCTGTGAGAACGCCAAAGCAAAAGGTGCTCACAGATTCTAAGTTTCAAATGCACACATAGTCTCAAAAACTCTAAAATAGAAAAGCAACCAACTAAAAGAAAAAGGGAATAGCAATCAAATCCCCCTGGCCCACTTCGTCCGAAGGACAGCATAGACGACATAATTCCTGACGGTTCTTTTTTTTTTTCGGGGGGAGGAGGGGGGAGGGGGGGGGCGCTCAGGAAGGGGAAGTAGGCAGAAGACGGTAGGTCAAATGTCAAGGACGGAGGCGATTCTAACGGTAGCCTTTCTAGGGTGTCGTTCAAGTGCTAGAGGCCCTCGGCACCTTGTTTTGGTCCCTGACACAATGCCCACGATCCTAGTTTGACTCCCAGGATCGACGCAAGTCTTGGTAAGAGGCCCTAGGCACCTAGTTTTGACCCCCGAACCTCTCAGACCCCTATTTTGATCCCTGACCCCTATTTCCAGACCCTACTTGTTGACCCTAGAACTTTGCTGAGGCCAAAATCTGCGACCCCTGTTTTGACAAGGGCTCTTCAGGATGTATTAATTGAAAGAAAAAGAAAAAAAAAAACAGCTTCAGAGAAAAAGAAATAGGGGAACACCAACCATTGCTTTCTGGGAAGGAGTGACACGGCAACATATTGCTGTTTGTGCGAACATGCTGAGCTCTGTGAAAAGATGTCTGTGATAAGTAAGAGCGATCTCCAGGGCCCACCCTTCAATGATGAAGGCAACATCCTGCATTTCACACACAGACACACACACACACACACAAAAAAAAAAAAAAAAAGTTAAAAAAAAACATTGATCACACTCCGAGTCTGTGACACATAAATTTCATGGTAACCGCGGACCCGGACACCGGACACTTCCGGACAGTTTCCCGGACCTGTGTCTGGACCAGTCCGGACTGTCCGGTGTTCAGGACATCACCGGACACCGGACTGTCCGGACTGTGTTTTGGCAGGGACAAGATGTCCAGGAAAAAAAAAAGAAAAAAAGGCGGGGAGGGAGCTCACCTGGTTCGCACTTCGTGCCCCCTATTTCCCGAACATCAACAATCAATCAATCAATCTCCACGAACATCCTATCCCCCATCTTTCCCTCTTCCCCCCTATTTCCCCGAGCCTCCCCCCC